GGCTACTGTGACAGAAGCAGCCCGTTCAGTTCCTGCACAAGGAGAATGCGACTTTATAGGAGAGTTGTTGAAAACAACTAATATACCATGCTAGTACATTGTGCGGTGCTTTAAATTGTCAGGATCAAAACTATAAACGAGGCATTAAGAAAACCACTTTTTCCATTATGACACAAGTGTTGTAGGTTAAGACAAATAAGCAGGGAATCAAATTCAAAGAAAATTATAGAAAATGTTGCCTCACATTAGGAAGAGAATTAAAAAAAAGTTATTCAAAAGGATGCTGTCTGTGTCCCATTCCCACAGTCAGTTTAACACCTGGCACCAGAGCCAAGAATGCAACCAGCCAAAAGGCCGAAAAAAAGCCAGCCAGGAAGCCAGCACAGTCTCATATGCTGCTGCTGGAAAAAACACATTCCACAGGTTAGCATCTGGATCCTCCAATGCCAAGCATACTCTGCATGGGGCAGCATATCTTGGCACTGATGCCACAGGTCAATGACGAAGAAGAAGTGGAGCACAGTCCAAGAACACTACCAGCAAGGAAGGAGAAAGAAGAAGAGCCCAGCTGGTATTAGAATGACAAGACTAGCCAGGGTTCTTCAGTAACCGCACTGTTCAGGGGAGAAAAATTATGCAATGTCTAAAGGCTTTATAAAATACTATTTAAGAACGGTACAAGCACTGCATTTAAACATGCAACATTTAGGCCCCGACTGGCACTACCAGAATAACTATTGTAGCCTAAATGTTGCACATTTAAATACAGTGGCTTATAGAATACTTAAATAGTATTTTGAAAAGAGAGTTAATATCGAAAACTATATTAAATACATAAAACTGCTATATTTATATTACTGATTTAATTAGCTTTTGTCCATATTTGTCTGAAGGACACAAAAGGTGACCTCAACTAAGGGCTAGATATTAGAGGAGAAATGGAAAATTACAATAGGGTCATAGAATCAATAAAAGGGAATTTAATGGGGGAATCTGCTCAACATCTTAGATGTCTATACACAAATGCAAGCAGCATGGGGAGTAAATAGGAAGAACTGGAAATCTTGGTAAACAAGGTAAACTATGACTTAATTGGCATCACTGAGACTTGGTGGGGTAAATCTCATGACTGAAATATTGGTAGAGGGGTATAGTTTCTTCAGGAAGGACGGGCGGGGGGAGGTGCTTGCATTATACATCAAGAATATATATTCTTGCTCTGCGGTCCACAAAAAACTGAGAGGCAGAGTAGTTGAAAGTCTCTGTGTAAAGATAAAAGTGAAAGAAAAACAGGATGATGTCATGGTAGAGGTCTACTATAGACAACCAAATCAAGAGGAGGAGGTGGATGAGGCATTTCTAGAACAATAGAAATGTCCAAAACATAAGACCTGGTAGTAATGGGGGACTTTAACTACCCAGACATCTGTTGGAAAAGTAATACGGCAAAACATAATTGCTGTTAAGTTCTTAGATTGTAGTGGGGACAACTTCTTGTTTCAGATGGTGGAGGAAGTAACCAGGGGATAACATTTTAGATTTAATTTAACAAGGAAGGATCGGTACAAATCTGAAGGTAGAAAGCAATTTGGCTGAAAATAATTATGAAATGATAGGTTTCATGTTTTTAAGGAAAGGAAAGAGTAAGAGCAGCATAATAAGGATAATGGACTTTAAAAAAGCAGACTTTAACAAACTCAGAGAACTGGTAGATAAGGTCCCATAGGAAGAAAATCTAAGGGAAAAAGGCATTCAGGAGAGCTGGCAGTTTCTAAAAAAGAGACAATACTAAGGGCCGAATTGCAAATTTTCCCAATGCGAAGGAAAAACAGGAATAATAGTTAGGGGCCAAAATGGCTCCATCAGCAGCAATTTAATGACCTAAAATAAAAAAGGAATCCTACAAAATGTGGAAACATGGGCAAATTGCTACGGATGAATATAAAAGAACAGCACAAGAATGTTGGGACAAAATAAAAAAGGCTAAGGCACGAAATGAGTCACACCTAACAAGGGACATAAAGTGCAATAAGAAGAGGTTCTATACATACACCGCTACCTCAATATAACGCGACCCGATATAATACGAATTCGGATATAACGCGGTAAAGCAGTGCTCCGGGGGGGCGGGGCTGAGCACTCCGGTGAATCAAAGCAAGTTCAATATAACACTGTTTCAGCTATAACGCAGTAAGATTTTTTGGCTCCCGAGGACAGTGTTATATCGAGGTAGAGGTGTACTATTAGCAGCAAGAAAAAAATGAAGAAAAAAGCAGGTCCATCACTTAGTTGGGAAGGAGAGCTAACAACAGCTGACAGCAAGCAGGCTCTAAGGTGTTTAATCCTTAATTTGCTTCAATGTTCACTAAAGAGGTTAATTATGACCAGATGCGTAACATAATTTATAACAACAAGGAAGGAAGGAATACAAGCCAGATTAGGAAAAGAACAGGTTGAAGAATATTTAGATGAGCTATATGTATTTAAGTTGGCAGGGCCTGATGAAATTTAACCCAGGGTACTTAACAGATTGGTTCAGCTAGTTCCTTAAGAATTATCTTTGAGAACTCCTGGAGGTCAGGTGAGGTCCCAGAAGACTATAGAAGGGCAAATATAGTACCTATCTTTATCTTTAAAAGGGAGCAAAGAGGACCCAGGGAATTATAGACCAGTCAGCCAAACTTCAATATCTGGAAGTTCTGCACTGCATCCGAGGGTGCTAAAGGAGTTGGCAGATGTGATTGCAAAGCCATTGGCCATTATCTTTGAAAACTCATGGCGATAGGGGGAGGTCCCGGATCACTGGAAAAAGGCTAATGTAGTGCCCATCTTTTAAAAAGGGAAGGAGGATCCGGGGAGCTACAAGCCAGTCAGCCTCACCTCAGTCCCTGGAAAAATCATGGAGCAGGTCCTCAAGGAATCAATTCTGAAGCACTTAGAGTAGAGGAAAGTGATCAGGAACAGTCAGCATGGATTCACCAAGGGCAAGTCATGCCTGACTAACCTAATTGCCTTCTATGACAAAATAACTGGCTCTGTGGATGAGGGGAAATCAGTGGATGTGTTATTCCGTGACTTTAGCAAAGCTTTTGATACGGTCTCCCACAGTATTCTTGCCAGCAAGTTAAAAAAGTATGGGCTGGATGAATGGACTATAAGGTGGATAGAGAGCTGGCTACATCGTCGGGCTCAAAGAGTAGTGATCAACGGCTCCATGTCTAGTTGGCAGCTGGTAGCAAGTGGAGTGCCTCAAGGGTCGGTCCTGGGGCCGGTTTTGTTCAATATCTTCATTAATGAGCTGGAGGATGGCATGGATTGCACCCTCAGCAAGTTTGCAGATGACACTAAACTGGGAGGAGTGGTAGATACACTGGAGGGTAGGAATAGGATACAGAGGGACCTAGACAAATTAGAGGATTGGGCCAAAAGAAATCTGATGAGGTTCAACAAGGACAAGTGCAGAGTCCTGCACTTAGGACGGAAGAATCCCATGCACTGCTACAGACTAGGGACCGAGTGGCTAGGCAGCAGTTCTGCAGAAAAGGACCTAGGGGTTACAGTGGACGAGAAGCTGGATATGAGTCCACAGTGTGCCCCGTTGCCAAGAAGGCTAATGGCATTTTGGGCTGTATAAGTAGGAGCATTGCCAGCAGATCGAGGGATGTGATCATTCCCCTCTATTTGGCATTGATGAGGCCTCATCTGGAGTACTGTGTCCAGTTTTGGGCCCCACACTACAAGAAGGATGTGGAAAAATTGGAAAGAGTCCAGTGAAGGACAACAAAAATGATTAGGGGGCTGGAGCACGTGATTTATGAGGAGAGACTGAGGGAAATGGGATTATTTAGTCTGCAGAAGAGAAGAATGAGGGGGGATTTGATAGCTGCTTTCAACTACCTGAAAGGGGGTTCTAAAGAGGATGGATCTACACTGTTCTCAGTGGTACCAGATGACAGAACAAGGAGTAATGGTTTCAAGTTGCAGTGGGGAAGGTTTAGGTTGGATATTAGGAAAAACTTTTTCACTAGGAGGGTGGTGAAGCACTGGAATAGGTTACCTAGGGAGGTGGTGGAATCTCCTTCCTTAGAGGTTTTTAAGGTCAGGCTTGACAAAGCCCTGGCTGGGATGATTTAGTTGGGGATTGGTCCTGCTTTGAGCAGGGGGTTGGACTAGATGACCTCCTAAGGTCATTTCCAACCCTGTTATTCTATGATTCTATGATACTGGAACAAATGATTAAATAATTTGTTAAAACCCTTAGGTTAATAGGGTGATAAGTAACAGATTTGTCAAGACCCATCATGCCAAATCAACCTAATTTCCTTTTGGCCTAGTGGATGGAGGGAAGAAGTAGACATGATATATATTGATTTTCGTAAGGCTTTTGACACAGTTCCACATGACATTTTCATACAGAAACTAGGGAATGTGGTCTAAATTAAATTGCTATAAGGTAAGTGCACAAATGGTTGAAAAACTGTATTCAGATAGTAGCTAACCATTATCATCATCACTGACATTTCCTTTTGAGTTACAAGAGGACATTCCAAGTACCAATTAAGACTGAAACAACTACAGTAATATGATTAAATGGCTGAGGGCAGTAGTGGTTCATGAAACTGTTTTCTCATCATACCCTTAGAGTGGTAGGGAACTTGATCCCAGCTTGGAACCCCACGACTGTAATTGTACTGTGGTTCTTGTTAACATCCAATTAGCTCAATTTGAAGCTATAAATGGACCATATATAAAACAGTAGTGAATATATATATGCTTTTTATAGTGCTGCTCAGTCATGATAGGCATAAACTAAGCACCATAACATGATCAGAAAACAGTAAATGAATTATAGTATTCCAGTTAGAGAATTCACTCCCATAACTAAGTAAAACTTGGTAAAACATGAATTCAGAGAAAGCTAGATGGATTGAACAGGTACAGTCCTGGCTTTTTACTGATACACTCAAATATTGCAGAGAAAGCATATCTGTAAGCATTACCTGTTGGTGTCCCACCCCATCTCATCGCTCCAGCAGTTTTTGTTCTACCAGGTCCCGGTGTTGTCTTGTTTAGTGCTGCAGAGACAATAATACTAAATTGCTCAGACAGTTTTTAATTAAAAAAAGAAAACACTGATAGCCAGGCCACTGCAAACTGAATCCCCTATTGGTTAGAGAGGAAATGATGTAATAATGATATTGTGGCTCATGCATTTGATTTTTAAAAAAAACATGCTATTTTAGTCCACAAATTGGGTCTTCAAAAACCATTTTATCTGAATACATGCAAACATTTTTTAAAAACGGAAACTACCAACAGGGTATGGTTGCAGAATCCACCAGTTGCAGAATTTGGTGGCACAATACAAGCTCTCATTGAACAAATAATAAAAATTTATGTGAGCAAAGTCCCAACTGCTCTCACAAAACTGTGGAGCATGTTTAAAATTGAAGTTCTAGGGTAATTTAAAAAAATTTAAAACTGAGATTTGTATTAAATTTAACATCAACAAAGACCATAGAAGAAATAATGTACTGTTTCTATTACTCATTTACATATTTAATTAAATAAAAATCTTGGTCTTTGAATTTACTTGAAGATGCTACAGAAATTTCAGTGGACCATATTGTGCCACTAATTCTTAAGCAAAACTCCTCATTTATTTCAACAGGGAATTCTGCTTCAAAATCAGTGTTGTGAAATGGCTCAACGTGTCACAGAAGTTAGCACAATGCACTGCAGAAATTGGAAGTCTGACATGAAATATAAACTACATTTATCAGAGAATATGGGAGCCCTGGTTACTACTGTTGGTTAAGCAGCATTATAAGGTACTTTCTAGATTATGCTATGCATGATCTGTGTCAACAGCTTCTATACAATAATGAAATATCTTTTTCAGACGGAAAAAAATTAGAAACCAGCTCTTTGAAAGTTTATCTGATTCAAAAAAATTCTCAGTAGATAAAATCAGCAATGGAAAGACTACATCAATAGACCTACTCAACAGAAAAGAAAATACTAACTGCTTCACAGCAGTATTTAAAAGATACAGCTAAAAGTAAGTGACGCTGATTAAATAAGGGTATTTTAAAAGAATACTTAATTACCAGGTCTGGTCTGTGGCTTATCAAAGATCTTGGGTCTTGCAGAAGTGAGACGCACTTTATGTGGTGCTGAAAGAGACACACTGAAGTTTAAGTGCCAGGGTTGTGAGGAATAGCAATGATCAAGGGAGACAGGCCTGTCAGTGCATTGAAGCAAAATGAGCATGTACCAATTCTGTAATTTTCAACATATTAATTTAGCTGCACATTGAAAGCCTGTGCTAGTTTGTTTAGGACTCAGACGTTAACTGTAGCCAGTCTGTAGAGTCTGGCTGGCTACATTCATGCTTAGTTTTAAGAGAAAAAGACATGAATTATTTTACACTGAGTTACACAATTGCGTATGGATACAGAGTCAGTTCTACAGGATGTTTGTGGCCTTAAGAAATTTAATTAGCTTCTGTAAAAAAACAAAGTTAAGTATTCCAGATAAAGGTGTGAAAGTTTTCATCATCACTCAAGAGACGACGTCTGCAAGCAAAATGAAGAAATTCAAAGCAATGAGAGCATGGGCTGGTGAAATGCAGTGACAGCATCAAGTTTAAAAATGTGAAGTGTTGGCCATTACCCAGGGTTGCCTCTGTTTTGCCAAATGGTTTTGATATTTTAGGTTTAATGGTTTCTGTATGAATCACATAGGAAGCTGTAAATGTAAAACAGAAGTTAGGAACAGTTAGTTACTATCATCTTATACCCAAAATACAGTCTAATAGGATCTACAATTCTTTGCACCATAAGCAGAGTTTGTCATTTGGCTGCTGAACCTAGTAGCCATTCTGCACTAGCAACACTGTAAAATAGTTTTTTAAGAGTCTAAATGAAGAATAAAATCTTTCATATGAAACTACAGAGGAAATGTTTAAGCAGATAAAATGTCATTGTTCAACTTGGAAAAACGGTTATAGGCCTAGATGAGATATCACATCTGAAAGATGGCTGAGTATGTTAATACTTTGCACTTCTGTAACACTATCCATCTGAGAAACAAAACACAAAGTAGTAACATAAATGCATTAAACTTCATATGATCACTTTGAGGCAGACGATAGATTTTGATTGTACAGAAATAAAGTACAGTATATTTAAAGTAAATGTTCCAATGGGGAAATATTAACTTTCATGTTATGACTATTTCCCCATAAGATTTGGGAAAAAATAGACACATTTTCTTAAATATTTTTTTAAACAACATTCCCTGCAAGTTTCATTTACTTGACTAAAAACATGGAACAAGATGAAATTCTGAAAATTGGTTTCTGAAAGTCCCTGTATTCATTGTCTGAAATATACACTCAGCTATCTTTTTGTGTCTTCTCAATCAATAAGGCGGCCCTTATGCACATGTACCTCCCACTGAGGTTCACAAGAGCTGTGTGTATGCAGGGCTACATAGTCAGGAAAAAGGGGGAAGTCATGATTAATCTGGCTAATTTTAATTATTTAAACTCTATCCCACAGAATTCCAATGAAAAGTATCACATGGTAAGTAACGTCTTTCTCAATCTTGTACAATAACTAGACTTCTTCAAGATGTGTAGTCCCTATTTCCACTCCATTGTGGGGCATGCATGCGCTCCATGTGTCTGAGACCAGAAGATTTTTGGCTGTGCCCTTCTCTGCCTTGTGCTCTTAACTGAGAACATAAGAGGTGGTGCAGGCTGACTGCGTCTCCAGTTCCTTCTCCACCATGAATCATGTGCAAAGGAACCAAAGCAGAGGGAAAGGAGGGCAGGTAGTAGAATACATATAAGGACAACATATCTCAAAGCACTTCAGTTCCTAATTACCAGTAATTTCTCTTTCTTATTAGAGTGATAGTCACTATGTGTATTCCACTGTGGGTGACTGACAAGCAGTATTCATTGAGGAGGGTGCAGAGGACCGCTGTGGTACCAATGACTGGAAGACGGCTGTGCTGGAAGATGCATTAGCTGTCGAAACTTGTATCCGGACGTGTCTCTCATGAAGGTATGGACAGAACCCCATGTTGCTGCTTTACAGATTTCAGTAAGAGGACCATCACAAAATGAGGGTATCAAAGCAGCCTTGGCCCTAGTTGAGTGGGTTCTCACATCTGGGGGGAGAATGGCTGTTAACTCGCAACACAGCACAAGGCAGCCTCGTATCCGCTTTGAAAGTCTTTGGGAAAAGATCACTTCCCCTCTCAACCATTCTGCAAAGGCAATATCTAGGCAATATCTTCTTTGTAGGTAGAATGCCAGAGCCTGGTGGATATCTAGAGAATGAAGTATCATGTCCTCACTGGTGACGTGGTTTTGAGAAGAAAACAGGTGAGTGAATTGTTTGATTCAGATGGAAATCCAAGGTTATTTTAGGAATAAATTTAGGGTGAAGTCTTAAAGAAACATTGCCCTTTTGGAAGATTGTGTACAGCAGATCAGCCATAAGGACTCCCAGCTCACCTCATCTTCTAGCTGAGGTGATGGCACCCAGAAAGGCAACCTTTATAGATAGGTGGGTCAAAGAGCATGAGGCCGGGGGGTTAAATGGAAGCCTTGTTAATGCTGAGAAGACCTGACTGAGGCTTCATCACAGGAGGGAAGGTTCTGACCTGACCGGAAGGTTCTGAAGCCAGGGTGAACATCCTGAACTTCAATCTGCAGATAAAGACACCGAGCTGTTTGAGATCTGAGTCTCCATCCTCCTTTTTTTGGGGGGGGGGGGGGGGGGGATGAGAAAGTATTTTGAGTAAATACCCTTTGCCCAGTGTTGAGGGGTTACCAGCTTTATGATTCCTGATGAAGATGGGATTCCACTTCTTGAATGAGCAATCTCTTGTGAGAGTGGTTCCTAGAGAAGGGGTTTTGATGGGGGAGGGGAGATTAACTCTATAGTGTAGCCCGTCTGAATGATGTCAAGAATGCATGTGTCGGTCATTACCATCTGCCAAGCTACATGGCCACCAAATTGTGTACAAAAAATCTGGGAGGACCGACATGGCATCTGGAATGATTTGGTCCCGTCAAAAAGTGTTTCTTAGCAGCAGGTTGGGGTTGGATGGAGGAAGAGGGGGGAACGTTTGCTTGCTCTGCTGCACCCTCTGTCATTCCCATAGTGATTCATAGCCCCTCTGAAGATAAAAGGGGTGAGGTGCCAGTCACTGCTTATACCATTATGGCCTGTGAAATTTCCTCCATGGCACTGGAGTGTAGTTCCCCAGACAGCAGAGGGTTGCCTTTGAGTCCTTCAATGAATGTAATGAATTATCAGCCTTCTCCCTGAACAGACTATTGTCTTCAAATGGAAAATCCTCCACTGTAGATTGGACTTCTCTGAGGACTGAAGCCATGACACTCTACACCTGACAATAGCCAACACCATCAATTGGAAGGCATGTCCGCTGCATCAACTGACACTTGGAGGAATGATCTGGTAATCAATTTACCTTCCTCAATGAGTACTTGGAACTGCACTCTATCCTACTGCAGGAGCTGGTTAGTAAATTCTGTGAACTTAGACATTAATGCCTGGCAATTTGCTATGCAGAAATGTAGGCTAGTTGAAGTAAAAACTTTCTCCCAAATAAGTTCAGAGATTTAACTTCCTTATCAGAAGGCGGTAGATCTTGGTTGATGTTGCCTGTATCTTTCAATGACTGCTTGGACTATGAAGGAGTTTGGAGCAAGGTGTGTAAATAAAAATTCTGCTCCCTAGACTGATACAAAGTACTTCTTTTCTGTCCTCTTTGGAGCGGGGGAATATATGACAGGTATGCCAGACTACCGTGGCAGATTCTAAGATGGAGTCATTAATGAGGATTGCCACCAACTTGGTAGGCCCATGCTCTGCCGAAAGTTGAGGAGTTTATGAGGGGGGATCTGGAATGCATCAGCAACCCTCCTTCATAGGTCTTGGAGTTCCAGAGCACAAGGAGAAGGGTGCAGGTGCAGACTAATGGAAACTGCTAGCAAAAAAATTTTGGTTTCAGGAGATTGCACCCCACAGCAGAATACACATAGGGACCATCACTTGAAGAAGAATCCTTGAGTTCCAAGTACAGAACTAAATGAGATTAGCACATTTTGTGCATTTGCCAAGCCAAATCTTGCTCTTGGATGCACATGCACAATTTTTTTTCCAATGGGAGCAGCACATGTCCATTCGAGGGCAGAATTTGGCTCAGTCTCTGAGTCTCCCCCTCCCTCTCCAAAAACACAAAATATGGTATTTGGGCTTCTGAGAAAAACCAAATTGTACCTGGAATACAGCGTTCTAGGTAATAATGTATACACCATTTGACCTTAAAGTGCAAAGTGCAGTCATCCACTTCAGAGATTGTTAACGATCTCAAAACACTGAATTAAGAAAAACAAATCAGTTACCAGTTTTCAAGTGTGGATTTTCAGTTGTTAGAACAGTTTGGGGCTTGAACGAAATCTGGTATGTTTCATTTGGAACTGAAAGTGAAAACATCAGAACTTATTAAATGTACATCATGTCTTCTTAAAATCAGATGCTACAAATTAAATTCAAGAAGGAGGAGGATTAAACCTGTTTGTGTAGTCCAGAAATGAAAAGGTTCAGTGCTGGAAACCTGGCTCAAAATCATGCTTTAATTGAAAATATAATCTTTCAGACTAGGAGGATACAAAGCATTAATAAGACAGGCAACAAAAGATTAGGGGGTCAGGGTAGAGCATTGCAGATGACAGTCCAGCCTTGTGCATGAGATGTGTGTTCCTAGAAAGGACAGCAAACAAACCGACTGGAAAATCAGAAGCAGTATTATGCATGAGCCCTGGAGCATGACCAACCAGTAAACAAAAGGGAGAGAAACGTGGAAAGTTTAGCTATTGTGACAAAGCTCTGTCCTTGTCTCCGTGGGTCCTGCATTTCCTGATGGATTTCGCTAGCCTCAGGGGCTCACTGTGACCCTCCACTTAACCCTTCTCTCTCTAGAGAGAAGGGTCACAGTCTACTAAGCCATTTTCATCATAAGCCAGCGAGGGAGGTGAGGAGAAGCAACCCTCCCTCGCACAGTCTCTGTCTCCCAGTCTCAGTGATTAATCGGGGGGGGGGGGGGGAAAGGCGGGG